CTCCTCACCCACCTACTAAGACCCTGCACCTGATACAGCACACCTCCCATAAAACTGCATTATTTACAGAGTCACTCCTGCCTTTGGAGGAGTCAAGCACATAAATTTACCTTGCCAAAGAATGGTGCTTTTACAACACATGGTAACATTATTAGCAGATGCAGGCAACTTCTGTTTTTTATGCGTGTGGACAATTCATATAAGCGACAAACTGCTCTGTCTTCTTAGCTTAAAAGCACCTGTCTTCAAGAGGAAGGTAAAGGCTAAGGAAATCCACTGTGAGATCTGAATGAGAAAGATGCAGTCTGAAAAGCAGCTCACAAGGAACATGCAAATGGAAATAGGGGCTGACATCAACTCTACAGTGGAAATATGCTCTAAAAAGTGCTATAACATACATACCTGATTAGAGCAGAGATTCCATACAAATTCCATAGTTTCTATGGTATATCACAAATCTGAAAACAGCTTTGGCTATAAGATTTAAAACCTTTTTTACATTGTTGATCTTAGTACACTTTTTTTCGTGAGTAAATACTTTGCTTTTACTATTAAAATTTTAAGAAGCAAGAACTGGACTGGAAAGACACCCCTGTCAGACATGACTGCCTATGAGACATCAGATAACGTGGTTCAATTCAGAACAGGACTTACACATGGCAAAGCTCAGTATCAAGAAGCTTGGCTGTAAGTGCTCAGAAGTGTTTGAAACTCTACCCTCTTCCTAGGAGAGACATTTTCTTACATCCCAAAACCCCATCCTGTATCTCAGATACCTTTGTCATCTTGTTGGATGTAGATGACTGGCTCACTTTTCTTTGAAAGTAAGCTCAGTGAAAACAACACTCTAACAGGAATCACTGTGTCCAAAAAGCAAGAAACCTGAGTGTACTACTCCCTCAGTGAAAAGATTTCAAAACACTTTCCACAAGACTGCCCTAACCATTAGGTTGCAGGCAATAGTACAGCAACGACATCTGCCAGCTCTATGACAGCGCATCTCTGCACATACACAGGTTCTGAACATCAGAAGCCCAAAATACCATTTTCCTCCTCCTTTCTTAGTATTATTTATATAAGCAAGTGCACTATGTCTGTTTGTCCTCAATATAAAGACACAACTGAAAACTACAATGGTACTTCACCTTGGGAAAAAATGACAAAAAGCAATTCTAGTTTGTCCAGAGTTGAGTTCAAAAATTGAGCAGTATCTAGAGAGGAAGGAATAAGCACAGCATCGCAATAAAAGAATAGACTGTTTCTTCTGATTAAGTTACCAGCCCTTGCATACAGTTTTAGGCAAAATGATTAAAACCAATTTAAAAAATTACAGCTCAATAAAATATGAGGCACATGTAGCTACTTATGTTCAACTACTTCAGCAGTATGATACAAGTTTTCCATAAAAACAGAATTATTTTGTAATTCTTTTCAGAATTAACCATTTCAAAAGTAGTAACAGACTTTAAAAGAAAACAAAGATCCCATCAGTCTACATTAGTTTCTGGCTCCATTCTCTCAAATGTTATATATTACTTCACATATGCTTGTTTTTATCTGTCAACATGGTTTATTGTTAGGGAAGTGTAGTATCAGCTGTCTCTTCCCTGCCAACAAAGCTACTTCATTAAAGTTAATAGTGTTTGACTTCCAGAGGATCTTTTACCAAGGTAACACAAAAAACTTCTGCTTGTCATTATTTTTCCAGCAATAAAGACACTAAATGGATGCAGTATCCCCTTAACCTTTTAACAAAGAAATCCATTCCATTAATACATTGAAAACATTGAAGAATTCTATTTACTAAATTACTTCAGCTGTGAGCAACCAAAATGTTAACCACACACCATCAGATGGCAGACCTCACTGTAGTAGTGAATATTTGCCTTGGTTTGTGGCAGACTACCATGCAAAGGTTCCTATGCACCTGCGTTAATCTGCATTGCCTTCTGTCTAATGTTACCTCTTAAAGGTTGTAACCAGTCACATTAAACAACATGAAACATTTAGCAGCAAAAAATGGATATATTTAAAAGCCACTTCCATAAATAAAATGCTGACACTTTAAACAAAAATCTGTCATGAAACCTTTCATAAAACCACTTAGGGACTGAGCTTATGTGTTTTTATACAATACACATATATTCTACTAAGTAAAAATGCAAAAACATGACGATCATCAGGAGCAACTTCTTGCAGACACAAGTAAAAATAACAAAACCCAACAGTCTTTAAAAACATCAGTTTCATACGTTAGAACCATCTGGCATATTCACAAATGTTTGTTAACTCTAACATATGTTTATCAGATCAAATACAAAAGGACTGGAGTTCAAATCAATTTTACTCAAAATATATGATATGTTCATAAAAATCTTGTATACCTCAATAACCTGCAGTAGAAGAAAAATAAAAAGTATTTCATGCAGTATTAAGAAACATCCAATCTTCTAAAAGACATTACAATAAAATATCATTAAAATAGAGACGATTAATCTAATGCTTAGTAAAAACTGTAAATAGTATGACAGGTAATAGTAATAGTATATAATATAAGACAGTAATAGAATAATAACAGTAAATATTATAAGACAGGTTTCCCATGCATGCAACCCTCTAAATACAAGAAGGAAATTTTTTGTCATTCATTTTTACATGAATAATCTCAGTACCACATTTTCAACATATACAGGCACATCAAGACTACTCAATGTAACTAGAAATACGTAAGGTCATTTAACTGCGGCATTGCTGAGGAACAAGAGAATAAGACAAGTACGTATGCCTTCACAGCATCTAACTGTTTTTTAAAATAACATCTTTTTCAATGTGCTTTTCACCTCAGTAAGTACATGCATATGTGTAAGGATACAAAACTATTGTCTATCAGAAATTCATGTCAATTGCAGACTGCAAAACCAAAGTCCATCAAACGTTTCAATACATAGAATCTGAAGTATATTTACTCAGTGAACCCCTCCACATGAACTTACAGAAGGCAACAAGGCTGAAAATGAGCTATGTATATTGCATAAATCAAGTATTAAGGCTATTTAGTACTTTAGAACCTTTATGCCTAGGCATACGAAGGTGTGCAAGCAAAGCCCGTGGTAGCTGGCACAAGGGGGAGCAGTCGGGTAATATTAACAAGGCTTGTGACCCCCCTTGGAAAGGCTCAAGATTCAGGTTTGCAGAGCCTGCTCGCAGGCTGACTCAGCCTTCGGACTAGCTGACATGCCCTCGGAAGAGCACCTACCAAAAGAACCAGAAAGCTCACTTTGTCACAACCATCCTCTCCATATGAGTACTCCAAAACAGCTTTGGCAATGGCAATGCCTGATGCAATGTTTGCACCTGTTTTCTAAAAGTCAAAATGAGTAATCACAGCTGCAATTGGTTTCTGTTTCTCCCTTAGCTTCAATACCCAAATGTTTGTTGGGGAGAACTTCCATACAATTATTTCATTTTGGTAATACAGCAACACTGCAAATCAAGTGAATTACAAGACATCAGAGAGTATCATGTCAGTCTCTGTGTGCTCCTGCATTTCAATTAATTTCAAATGTTATAAGGAAATACCAAATGTCGGCTTTTACTCCACCCTGAGGGAGCTAGTTAGTTGCAGCACACATTGAAATATATTAAAAGGACTCTGTAAATCATTGGCCCTGTGAGCAATCCCTCTGGAGATATCTGGAAGGAGATCCTCAGTCCATGTTCACTGTCACAGTCTACCGTGATGTTCTTACAGATTAACACAGCTGTGGCACTTCCTGTGTTAGCTGTCTGGAAACCACCTTCTCCAATACCCAGGACTGTATGCTCTATAAGGACTCTGAATTCTTTTAGTTTCATATTTGTAAAGCACAGAATTAGACACAACCACCTTCTGTCCATGACTAGCAATCTTTGCTACTACAGATAAACACCATTTAGAACAAAAACTGAAAAAATAATTATCTCTATAAAAGAGGTAACCATTCATACTGAAGTGCCAAATGAAAACTGATTTTAAGGAAAAACAAAAATCATCAAGCAAACAGATTAGAAGCAGTGAATCAGACAGTCAGAGTTCACTTCTAATCCAGAGCTTCAATCAATAACTGCTTTCTACGTAAGAGATATCTTTCATAAATTAATTTGTACTATTATTATATTTAAGTCTTCATAATTCTGAGAAAGAAAACTGCAAATACCAGACAGAAAAATCCTCCATCCAGCCATTTTACTAGTGATTATTCCACATTTTAGATAGCTTTATAAAATAAATTCATACGTGCAAAACCCCACCTCAATTCCACAGAAACCAAGGTGATTGTTTCCACAGAAACTGAGTGAGCTTCACCAGCTTCACATTGTTCACTACACCACAGACCGCAATCTGTCCATTAACATTTTGAAATGCACTAAAATACTAGAGCTTCATACTCAGGTAGGATACAAAAAAAAACCCAAGCAACCCATACCTTTTTAATCCTTCCAATCAGTTTTATGCAAGCTCTTTCATAAATTGAAAGGATCATTACCTCAGTTTGTTTAGACCTCGGACTTGACCTCTCCACCCTAGAAAAATTCTATAATCTGAGGGACTACCCTCATAGGATAATTTACTCTAAATACTTGAAAACCATTACTCGGCAACACCTGCAAGCAAGTTTTATCTGCACAGAATTGCTGAATTTGTTTCACCAGATGAGAAGACCATGATCATCATTGAAAGTAATGTAACAGAATCCCTTCAGCACAGCAGAATCTGAAATGCAGGTCCAATAAATCAGCCAGTTAGTTTAATTATAAAGGATATTTAGAGTGGAATCATTCCAAAAACATTACAGATAGGCCAATTAGTTACCATCTTCCCTCAGAATAAAGTGAACGTAAACTGTATTCTTACTTCTGTAGGTTCCATGAAGATTTTCATCTGGAAGAAAAACTTCTCTCATTTAAATCCACACTGTTCTTTTTCACTTACTGCACAAAGTTATTAGAAGGAAAGATTTAAGGTTTTTTAACCAAAGTATCTGTTTGAAGTTCCAAGTAAACCCTTGACAGGGCCCAGCTTGCCAAGAGATGTGCTTTCTACCAGTAAGCAAGGAAATCTATCCATAATTTTTTTTTTTCCTTTTTTTAAAGAAAATAAAACATTTCCTTTGGAATTTATTCTCTCTTTTAACCTTATGCTCACTGCCCAACACAAACACACACCTTTCCCCAAGGACGGGGAAAAGCTCCAAGCACCCCAGGGGACTCTGGTGGTGGTGAAGCCCCCAGGGCAGGGCAGCCATTTTGTGCCCCTTCAGGGCACAGCCCCAGGCAAGGGGGCTCAGACAGCCTGGTGTTTGAGGCTCTGGCTGTGCCATACACACATGACATTGCTTCCTGCGTCATTCACAGGTTGTTTCTCAGCATTTTTGTGCAGAAGACCCAGCATTTTTCTTCAGAAATACCATCGCCTCCCATGGGTATGGACATGGTGCCTGAGGCATAAGGGGGAGCACAGGGGAACCACTGCCAGAGAGGGCTGATAAATGGCTGGGGGTAGAGGAAAGGTCTTAACCTTGCAGTGTGTGTTTTAAAAAGAAAGGGGCAGTCTTTTTAGGCCTTGCATTTGTCTTCCTTATATGAGGAAAATGCTATAATCTGAAGGACTGCACTTTTGTTTTCAAGGATAGTTTGTTCTAAATACGTGTCATCATCAGTATGACGGACTGATAAGTAAATCGAATAAGAGTGTTCCAAACCATTCACTTTTATTACACAGTAGCTGGTATGTTACACTACAACACTGTCCACCTGATAAATCCAGTTCATACAATGGTGCTGAGATCCGTGATGTGCCTATGAAGAAAAAAGGACACTTATTTTATCTAGTCTAGATAGTAAGAAGATAGTCTCCTATCACCTGGTCCAAGGCTAGTTTCGCCAACAGTAAGAAGGAGATCTGTAGTACGTGGTAATCTGGGGTTTTCTTCTCTATAAATTATGTTGTATCACAGTGAGAGATTTGTACAATCTAATGAGAAAGCAGTGAGTGTATGAGAGCCAGCCCAAAATTCAAGAAAACATTAGCCCTGGGCAGGTTATTTAACAGGGCCTCTGGAGTGCAGTCATAAAAAGAGGGATGAATTTCAAAGGTAACACAGCACAACAAACGGCTGAGCAGCAACAACGTCATGTAACTGCCAAGCAGAATATGGCTGACGCTCAACAATTCACAAAAAGCAGAAACTTGATAAGAATAGAAAGGATGTTCATTTTCAAGCAGAAGATAAGATATAGATTAAAGTTCAATCTCAGGGTAGCGCACAGAAAGATTTTACGGCTACACTAACCCCAAACCAGAAAATTTCTTACTGAGTTAAGTAATAGGGTAAATGGAACCACAGTATTTATGGTACACACTGTGTGCTGCTGTGGGATGTAAATCCTCGCACATTCACAGTGCTGGGATTCTGGCAGCCTTTATTCTGGAGTTGTGGTAGAATTCAATTTTTGTATTCTTTACATTTCCCTCTCTGATTTCATCTACATGGACATTAAATTTATTCATTACTGTACGTTTTTTACCTCAGTCACTTGGTATTTAGCTCTCCCTCAAGAAAAGGAAATAACCACAAAGAGGGTGGTAACCACGTAACCTCTTACATACAAATAATGTTAACTTTCTTTCATTTTTTCATTGCATACATATCATTTCTACCCAGGTATATCTTGGCCTAAAGATGATAATTAGTTAATACATTGGAGAAGGAGATCTTGGGAAGGAAAAGTCCTGGACAACAGGAGCCAGCTCAAGGAAATAATTCCTTGCTTTCTGATAAGCATTGCATGCACTGCAAATTAACTGGAGAAGCAGCAAACAGATGGGTTGACAAGGCTTGTATCACTGGCAAAAAAAAAGGCAGGGAAGAAGGACTGAGAACACGATTAGTTAGGAAAAAGGCAAACAAAGCTATACATGGTTTTTAAGCCAACAAAGAAAATTAAAGTAGAATAAAAATCTACCAGAGCAATTGAGAAACTGTATTAAGTTTCTTACAGACCTGACAATGGATCAGCCTTCAAAAATGTTCTAGGACACTCCTAAGGTGTATAGTGTGAGCGAATTGAGTCCATTATTCAAAACAGGAATGAATATGAATCTTTAGCTTTTAGGAATCTGGTGCTGCCATTATATCTTGATGGAAGCATTGCGGGAACTGACTGACTCATTTTTGCCACCATTTTAGCTTCCTTTAGGTCATTGAGCAAATCACTTGATGCTGGCAGGTCTCCTTCTGTAATACAAATCTGTTGGAAATATTTCCCTTTGCCCATTTTTTGTCTAAGCAGGCTATAAACTCTCTGAAGAAGCATAGTCTCTTGCACAAAAGTGCTGCAGCAATGAAAATAATAATTTCTGAGGTTTTTTCAAACTGCAAATTCTTGCTTTACTAAGACAAAATATCCAGATTTGAAAGACTTGATGACATTTTCTGAAATGTTATTAAGGATTATCCATAGGAATACACCAGAATTCACCAGAAGTTCATTAGTCACCTTTTTCAGGCTATGAAGATGTATTTGTTTAGATTTATATGGAAAGGATCAGCAGACTTTTCCAGTGCCCCTCTTGTCCTACCCTTCCTTTCATGTCTTTCTCCCGCTCTCAGCTTCACTTTTTTTTCCATGCTGCCTCTTATAGTTTGAATAACTTCCCATCTGCCACATGCCAAATCTCCTTTAGATCCTTCTTTAAAACCTACTTCCTTCACACAGCCTATTTATGCTGATATTTTCACCAAGACATCTCCATTCATTCCCCATCTGAACTGTTGTCCCATAAATCATATTTGTCTTGCTTAGATTGTCAGTGCTAAACATAAAGCATGTCCCGGATGTTCTAGCAGTCATTCCTAGTCTGCTGCCATATGAATGATAGCAGGGTCTTGTATCAATTTCTGTACATTTCCCAGAAGGACAGAGGAGAAAAAATTATTCAAAGAACTTCACAACAGCCCTCAAGGCTTGTCTGTATTACACAGCTGGGAACAAACATCTTTCCCTCCTGTGAACTACAACTCACAACATTATTAGTTAACCAGAGGTTAAGGGTAAGAAACAAATGTTTGTTCCTATTACACCCGACAGATCCTTACACATACACAAGCATCTCAGCAGATATTTAAACATGCCTTTCTTCTTGCTTCTGGAAGTGAATATTTCAAATGACACAGGAAAGGAACCTGAGTAGGAAGAATAGTTATTAGTCCTTAACAGTCAATAACAGATATGAATTGCTTAAAATTTGATGAGAAAGATCTGTGAGCAGTTTTGAATATGAATTTTGTCAGGACATGTTCAGTCAACAGCTCTTCATTTCAATTGTGAAGATTAATGTTTTTTTCCATGAAACTAATGCCAAAACTTTGACTCACTGGAAATAAAACATTAGTTTAAAGAGCTACTCATTATCATTTGTTTTACAGTAAAAAATAAATTTCATGAATTAAGATATAAACCATTTTGTCACATAACAGCACTTTGGAAAAGACATGGAAGGTGACCTATGTACAAATAGTTCATCCAGTGTTTCCAAGTTCCCAACTACTGTAACACTTGCACAGTTTACATGGAAAAAGGGAAGGAAGCTTTGCTTGCTCAGGCTGTTGACTTAGATTAGCTTTCCTCTGTAAACTGAAATTACTATTCTGTAAAGTAGAAATTATAATGCATACCTTACAAGAGTACAGTGGTGACTGACTGCCATTTTCGTTGCCCATAGTGTGCAGAGTGTGCAGAATCCTACCCTGTATGTTAACACACGTGGATCTAGTATCAGCTGTGGCCTGGATGCACCCTCAAAAATATCTTCTGGGACATGACAACTTTACCCATGTGAGTAGAGATTTCTCAGAAAAAAAAAAATCCTGGCATAGGGCAAAGAGGTTGTATGGGTTGTAATAGCAAAGTAATGAGCGTTTCTTGGAAGTAGATCTGCATCTTCAGCACTTATTGCTGCTATGTGAAAGACAGTAGCAATAGATCCGAAAGCCATCTTCTTGTCTGCAAAGATTTTATCCACACAAGAAAGCAAAACTTGAGAGGTTCCAACTTCTGTGAAATATGAATGGGAACGGATGGTGTACAGCATCTTGCAGAAGAAATTCATGTTTGTTTGAAATCAAAACAAAAATCTTTAGCATTGAAAATCTATGTTAAATATCTAAATGAGACAAGAAAAATAGAGATAAGCATTTAAGTTTTTAATTTTTTTTATATATAATAATAATTGTCAGTTCTGGAGTATCAAAAGATCACACTGGGAATTCTTGCAAATTTTTTATATCGTTAACTTCAAATTCTCCTGTATTTTCTAGAAAATTCTGTGGACAGCAGTTGTTCTGTCATGCATTCAATAGGATAGATCTCATTTTATACTGCATTTAATTTAAGGTTTTATTCTCATTTTTGCTTTGTGACACACTGTTTCTCTCAATTTTGCTCTCAGACCACATTATTTTTTTCAGCTTTTCTTCCTCTACATAGTATTTTAGACTCATTATCAATTTACTGAGATCTGGAACTGGTATTCTTGGCTTTAAGGATGCTCTAAAATGACAAACCTGGGAAAACACTGGCAAATCATGACTTTGCAACTGAGGACATATATTCTGCAAAGGCTGAGAATCCTTGGAATCTGCAGAATTCCTAAACCCCAGTGGGTTTAATGCTCCTGCTGCCTCTAAAATACCAGTGCTTTGATGTATGTCCCATTTCCTGGATTCACTAGCACTGTGAATTTTGGGATATTTGCAGACCGTTTAAGTTTTCATTTCTGAATACACATCCTAAATATTCAGAAATACTTCATTTTCTGAAGAAACTAAAAGTGAAAAAGTTTTTACAGAGCACATGTAGATAACTTGAAATGTATTTCCTCTGTAAAAGCTGATTTCTCCAAAGTTCCTAATATTGGACATGATTTTGGTTCTGCAATATGAAATACCTTGAAAAGGTTGTGATTTTTCAGAAGACAGATGAGTAGTTTCAGAAAACAATACATTTTCCCTTTAGAAAACAATAGAACTTCAGTGTGCCCCCACTTGATTACTTAAAAATGGAAGCAAAGTTTTTAGTTTCTATGGATAAGCTGGGCATGCATAAAATCACTCTGGATTCTTATGCTGCTTCTTGTTCCACGTCCAAAAGTGCTCCGTTTGTAAATAGGAACTTCATCTTCCCTTACTGTCGGTTTTCTAAGCTCATTTGGATCTTAATATTTACAAGAAAGACTTTTCATGCTTTTCACATTATCACAGATGGTAATTGCTCGGATACATCTGTGAGAGCTCGCTACCTTCATTTCAGGCTCTCCAGTTCTAATTCAGGAATGCACTTCAGCAAATCCATCATTTCTAAGCAGTGTGTAGACTACAGACATTTTTCTGAATGGGAATGTTTTCTTATAGATCATACATCTGGAACCCACCAAATACATATTGTCATGCAACATGAGGAAGTTTTATATCAAATCTTATATCAAATTTATATCAAATCTTCCTGGGGTTAACTGTTCGCGGAATACAAAAAATCCAAAATAACAAAACCAAACATGTTTGGAAATGAAGTTATTAGATACAACTGAAGGAACAGGTTCCTTGAACAAGCAATTTTACATTGCCATTCTTGAAAGTCAGACTGGAGTTGAACAGTTGGGAAAAAAGCAGGAATTACTTGAATGAAGACATTATAAAACTGGGAGTTAAGAATTAATTTTAAACAGACTTTCTGGTGGAGACAGTAAGATCTTGCTAACTTATGTTTGACATTCTCATAGCCTGAGTGGTAGTGAGTGACACTGCTGTTAGGAAACCAGCACTGAGGACACAGTGCGCAGTTAAATCCCATCTGTGATGTGTGTGAGGGAGTGGTCTAGTGCTTGCCCTGTAGAAAGGACAGTTGCCATGAAGGAAGATACTATTTACATTTCAGAAGCCTGTGTATTTCTTACAAAAATAAACACCATCAGCATTATCTGATGCCAATTCCACAGTATACACAGTGATTCAGCCCCTGATTACAGCAAAGTTTTTAGGATCCATACTTCCATCCATTGAAAAAGTGCAAATACTCAGACTTCAGGGAAGTCAAAGTATTGTGCTTCTAAAGGATATTGTGCTGAGCATATTGTTCATTTCTTGATTCTATAAGATCTCCCTTGTTGAAGCCACTCAACATTGCGCCAGGATTTCCAGTCTACCAGTGAAGTTCAGAGCTGTTATCCCAGCAGTCTGTTCTGGCTTGCTATGCGACATAGAAAATATTTCTAGTAACTGATTAGCAATAGACTGTTTTTATAACAGTGTGTTCCTGTACACATGCCCTCCTCCAATACCCTTTCCCTATTCCCAGGACAGAGACACCAACTCAGTAGTCACAGACTACTATATTACATCAGAGAGCCTCATTAAATCACTCCAGACACAATTATCTTTTGTATCCATCAAACCATGAAAGGTTACCTGAGTTACTAAAAAATTCCAGGCTTGTCTTCCTAATAAACAACAGTATAGTGATTAATTGCCAAAAGAATCTGGTGCTTTAGGAATAGCTTTTATTTGGAAAGTTTAACATACTCATTCACCAGACAACTGAACTCTCCACTTCTCACTTTCTCAGGTCACCTGCAAGTACTAAAGATTTATGTGAGCAAGAAATATTGTTACTTTTTAACATGGTGATGTTTTTTTAAGCAACATATTTCAGATAGAGATTTAGCCCCATGATGCATACAAAGAAAAAGACTTTGCCTTGAGAGGATTTGGTATGAACTGGGTCACAAAGGCAATTAAAAGTCTTAAACCAGATGTATTATGTCTGTTCTATCCTTTTCATTTGTGTCAACGGGTGAAATCATTGCATGGTACGCCCTGGTTCATTTTGTCATTCTAAAGCTGGAAATGATGTAAACAAAAAAGCAGATTTCTTTTTTTATATAGTATTGTGAAAGATACTAATTTTATTCCACTAAAATCAATTATAAATTTGAAGCTGAAAATACATGTGTGTTTTTAAACATTCTGATTCTATAAAGTACATTCCATAGTCTGGATTCACTTTAATTGTGATTAATTTGCTTTCTTCTATATCCCATAGTATATATGCACAGGACAAAAACACACATAAATAAGTCACACTATTAACACAGTGTTTTCATTCACCTGTGGAATCCTGCATAAGAATTTTTTTTTTTATTTTAAGTGCACATTTTAACTTTCACACGATTGAGCTGGGCTTCCAATACACTTTCTGCTTCTAGGGAAGATCAGTTTAAACACAGTGAAGTAAATCATGTGTGTTATTGCTCAGTACAGAGTTACTCAAGTTAATTATATTTCTGTTGGTTTTGGCTAACAACTAATGCTACAATATTTACTTTAATAAGCTGAAGTAAGCTCTGAGCCTCTTTAAAATAATACTCTGTAGCGTGCAAAAACTTTAAACACCGCAGAATGAGTGTTCCACTTGCAAATAGGTTCATTACTTATTTGCCAAACTTTATGCAAATGGGGGAGGACTTGCTACTCTCTGTAAGGTGTCTTTATAGGTAACTGCTGGGAAAACTGTTGCAAGAACTCAGTAGCACTGAGCAACTGGTGCGGTGATATCGTTCCTGAACAAATGCCATCTTTGAGAGCCCACCCACTGTGGGACAGTAAGTCTCTTTGGCCTCTTTGCTACCTAATAGAGTGAAGATCAGAACCTAGTGAGTTAATAAAACTGACTAGCTTACATGTCCCCTTCTCTGCTCTGGTCCCAAACAGCTATTATGCCTGGCTGCCTAGGAGATCTCCAGAAATACAGGGTGCTGTGGCACAGAGGCATTACCCTTATTCCTTCAGGTTTCCTATATTCCCTGTGATCCCAGTCTCTATGGCAGAACTAATAAAAATGGGTAGAGATACACATGACTGCATGTGAAGAAGTTCATTTTCATTAACCGTCTGGTTCTTTTTTCAGCTTGCATTGTTTTGGTCATATTTGTGCTCTCGTCTTCACCTATGGGGCTTTCAGACTCATGCCTGACACAGTTATTTGCACTTTTCAGGGAGCAAAATGCCATATGTCATCCCTAAATAGCTTACTTTCTATAGCCAGATAGAAATGTGCCTCTAATTTGTTTTATACTGCCAATACTTTTTGTGAGAGGAAATTGTTGGGGCACTGGAAGTTATCTATTTTCCAATAGATTTTATTAGGTTATTTCCTGTTTTTCTTCCTGTTCCTTTGCTCTGTCTAATTTGGCAGATTGATTTTCTTCTTGCACTTTCCTTCCTTTTAGTTCTCACAGTTCTACTCACCATCTCCTTGTCCAAACTTCTGGACATCAGCTGAACGTTAGAAAGTAGAGCTGGCCAAGGATTTCAACATTTAAAAGGTTGATAAAGCTTTTGAGGTAATTCAAACTCTTGGGCTTGCCATTAGAGTTAACTCCAAATCTAGAAAACTGTCGTTTCCTCTCTGATTTTTTTTTTCATATCTACCTATCTATCTATCTATTTTTGCTTTCAATTTATTTTGCCTTTCAGTTTATTTCCCCCAAACTTATGTTAGCCCCCGCTTTATCTTGTTCCCAGTCCCACTGAAGACAGCTACACTGTCCCAATTCTTCTACTTTCTATATTAGGTATGGGCATTTTCCAAAGACCCAGGTGCCTCAGTAGTTTTTCAGCAGTTAGACTGAGACTGGTAGAGCGTAAAAGATGTGGGAAATAATATTCCTCATACCACCTGATGAGTGTTGGGCAAAACAGGACATTTGTTTGGGGTTGCATAAGTTTACCTGGCTTAAAACCTTTACTGCTGAACACATTCACCTGCCTTCTCTGCTAATTTCAGTGAAGTATAATTATATTAAAAACATTTACTTACAGGTGAGTACAGTATTCAGCTTTGGCCTCCAGCTCCATCTCTGTTCTGTATTGCTGATTTTATTGTTGTGTTAGGAAGGTAACATTGTTCATCGCATGATAAAAATTAACCATGTTTCTCTGGAGCTGGTACCAGCTCACGCGTTTCTAGTAAAATACTTTATGCTTCAGGAAACGAGTCCCTCTAAAGTTAGTGCTCTTCTAGATTCAGATAAATTGAACAATATTAGACGCATCTATAGCTTGGGAAAAGAGATCATTACATTCAATTCTCAGAGAAATAGCTGCAAGGGATCTTGGGCTTATTCAGGCTAGCCAAAAGCCATAGTCAGCACAGCAGAAATTCCAAAATTTGACATATTTAAGCTATTAACTTGAACTGCCAAATAGTCTTTAGACATATTATTACAGAGCTCTGAAGTGGAATTGCTCAGTGATTAGTTTTACTCATCAGCTGCATCAACACATGTTCAAGGAAGGCAGGAATGTTGGGTTATTCCTGCAGCTTTTTATGATTTTTCATGAAAAAAATAAAAAAGGATTTGTATTTATTTTTAACAAAGACATTACTTTACTCACAGTTCTTGAAAATAAAACTATAACAGAACACTGCTGATTTACCTCAATAGCTCGTAAAACTATTGGAGAAAAGAGACCTTACAAAATATTGTCATTACAAAACCCAAATGAGAAAAACTCATTTGTTTTAGTTACACATTTAGCAGTGACTGTGTGCAACACATCAAAACTGGAGAGGGAAACTCCTAACATTGCTTTCCTAATCAGTTTCTAAAATGTTATCTAGGTTTCAGGATTTGTTAACTAAGCACAAATTTGATAGCACTGAAGGGGAAGCAATACACTCAAAAGATATTACAGAGACAAGAATATGCTGATACTAAAGGCAGTGAAAAAATATTTTTTATGCCAAGAGAGAAAAAAAGCTTGGGGTATGACCTGGAAATTTGAACAGTTGAAGAACGAGGGTTCAGCATTTTTTATTTTTCTTTTTTGGCACACTCTGTTTGCTCCAATTTACAGCTCATGCATTTGGACACAGATTCAACTGTCTCCTGTATCCAAGGATAATGACCTACCGCTCCAGTGATTTAGCAAACCTCAACTCTGTGCAGCCACTCAATCAGTGATGGGCTAATCCCTTAATGGCCATTTGTGTCTTTCCAATGCATCCTAAGGAGTTCTGCAACACTCCAATTCTGCTGCACAGAATTATGTGCACTTCTTCCACCCTTGTTATCTTATCAGGTAGCTAATTCCCACAAATGATCATGCAGTCTCAAGTTTAAGATGAAATTGCAATTGAATCATAAATTTGTCACTCTCCAGACAGCTGCTAAGTCGGTAAAAACTTGATCAAGTGGGGATTAGACACTGGATTGAACAATTAAGACCTGTGAGTGCATCTGGCCCTTTGACAGAGACATGTTTATTGATAAAAAAATAGTTTATGTAGAGGTTTAAAATATTATTAATTCTTAAGTGGGGCATAATCCTTTATCTAGTATATTGTGACACAGAGCTAACTATCCCACTAATGTCTTGCTCTGCTCAATCAACTAGTTAAACAGGATTAATCTTTTGAAATAACGATGACTGTGAGCCTTTATAAATTACCAGAGCAGAGTGCAACGAGAGATGTAATATACAAAAATTGTTTGCTTCAGAGGGAGGTTTTTTCATGTAAAGGGAAACAGCCTTTCAGACCATCAGTTATGTTTTTATTAAAATGTTCATATACATTAAACAATATATTTCCTACACAAGAAAAATATGTTCCCTGCAGAGAACTGGCATATAAAAACATCTCCTAGCCCTATTCTGAAAAAAATTAAGGCACAATGGGATAATGGGATACTATCTTGTGGTGCTCATTACATAATGGAAATAAATAAAGGAGATAAGCACTTCCCTCAAGTTAGTGACCCATATCCAAAGTTTTCTGTAGTAGAGATTTCTCCCATTGTATCACATATCTATGTTTTACCATGATCTATTTTTGTTAGTTTATTGCAGGAAACAGTAGATCTCTGACAAGTGAAACATTACTGTTCCATGGGTGTTAATTTTGCATCTTTCATATTTTGATCATTGAGATAGTTTCTTAACTACAGGTGTAGATGGACTGAGATCCTGGCTACTTCTATAATTCTTCAGGTATGCAGTTTTCATTGTATTAACAACCAGGTGTGAAGAATTCAGCATAGACTATAAGCCTCATTTCAGGCACATCACTAACAGCAGCAACTTCTGTTCATCTTTGTTCTGACTGAGGTTTCAACTAGTAAACTCAAACTAAGTGATTTAAGGTATAATTCACTAACTATACCATGAGTGAGTACAGTCTTGTTACCTGACAGATTCAGCACCCATCAGGTCTGTAGTAGGTCATTACTGGCCAACCTCATCCAGTGCCACCAGTATCAGTGTTTCTGATTTATCTGGTGTAATGATAAAAAAAAAACAAAGAAACCCAAAAGCAGCATTACTGGATCTGCAGATAAAAATGTGATTTGCTTGCCTGATGAAAATCTCCATGTTGTACTTGCTTGTTATGAAAAACATTCACTGGGATTACATCAGGCAAAGGAGAAAATTGAACTTGTGTTTCCTGCAGCCCAAATGCTCTTATTCCACAGTGCTGAGTACAAGACTTCTTCTTTAGGCAGATCTGTACTCTTCAACCCCTTTGCTTTTCTCACAAGATACTGAAATGAAACATTCCAGTTGCGGTTTGAGAGAAACACATTCAAGTTGCCTTCACAGTTTTCAGCATTTTATTTCTACAAAAAAAGACCCAAAAGATTAAATGTAAACATGGCCCAGTGACATTGAAATCTGGGACAGATACCTAAGTTTAGCTGCCCATATGAAAAATCAATTCATATTTTTAATTAACTTAGCAGTGTGCCTTATACTGCAATATTTCACAGTTCAAAGCCACATCAACATAATCAGAATGGGTTAACTCCACACAAGAAACCAAGATGAACTAACATTATGGAGAAAATTAGTATGTCCCGATAGTAACATAGCGGTGATATTTTTTACTTGCACAGCTATGCCGAGCAGCACCAAATGCAATATCACATGCAATTTACAATCATCGTAACATTTAGCTGTGTTAAGTGTTCACAAAGCTCAGCTGGAAAGAAAGGTATACATAACTTTGACAGTGCATAATTACCTTCTGTGTCTTAAAAACACTCTTTATCCACCACTTGTTACCAACTCTGTGACTAGTGCAGACTTAAGTAAAGCATAGAAACAAAACCATGGTTGAAAACGTTCTCATGGAACAGTTTAGTCAGGCAAGTACTTTTACCTGTAGTATAATTATTGGCTGGATTTAGCACAGGGATATGGTGGAAAACTTCAAGTCTAGACTAACCACCTTCTGGGTTTTGAGCAGAAAAGCCCAAGAGAGAACCTGCCATTCCACAGACACATTTCTGCAACCCATCTGGCACAAGGAAACCTCAAACTCTGATTTCAGTGGCTCACCTATGTAAGCCAAAATTACACCCTCAAAGATACCTTTTGCAGAATTCCTGAAGTGCTTCATTCACACCCAGCTACAGGCTACAGCACACAGAAGGGGAAAGTTTAGTCGCTGTTTAGTCAAAGGTAACCACTGCCATAGGCAATGGTGTGCAGAGGTGGCCAAGACCCTCGGGACTGCTCCTTATCTGGACAATGCTCAGTGCAGCATTAGCACTGGCTGGTTGGTTAGGTGGGTGTTTGGGGCCAGGACCCACACACCTGCTGAAGCTGGAATATTTAAATTCCTATTCACTACGGCATATTCTTTCTCAGTATCACACCCTATGTTCCTTGTCAAATCACAGCTGAAGGGCCTCTTACTCAAGGAACACAGCCCAAATTCTTCTGACAACCAGGTTGGATTACGGTGATTCACTTCATGAATCAGACAGAACATGCCCTACGTTAGCTGTTGCCTTCCATGCTGCTCAGAAGCATAATTTTGTAAATATTCTAAATTCTCATGGGTCACAGTCATTTTATTTTGCCCTTGCCTGTGGCTGATTAATGCAAATCAAATTTCATACCAGTCAGCTCAAGCAATCTGCACATTGTACAGAAATCAGCATTTCAACTAGAAGGCACAATAGTTTTCACCAGTTATTAATGTTCTCAGAAAAGGTCAGAATTCTAAATGCACTGATATAAAAGAGAAGAATTAAACCATTCAATCCCAATAATCTTTGATTTAAAAATGCAATTGAAAAATCCAGCAGGGTAACTTGAGATTTTTTTTCTGAGTTTACTATATTTTTAGGGTATTTTTTTACATTTAAAATGTAAAACGACAGCCCTGCTTTTAAAGATGGATCTCTGCAAAAAGAGCCAGGAATGTACTAAATATTTCCAGCAAATGGCCAAGTTAAATAATGCACAATGACAAAATTTCCCCTGACTACAGTGTTACACAATTCATGATTATTCTCTATATTGCTCCTGAAGTGAGTTCATGTTTGGGGCCAGTATTTCAACTGAGTCTCAAGATTAGCTCACTCCTATCTTCTATTAAAGTAATTAAATCTCTGAAACTAAATGCTCATTCTATACAAAGAGTGGAAGTTAAACAAAATAAAAGCTAAAACCCATCAAAGCAACTGCCTTAGGTTTCCTTGTCACCTGCATTTTCATTCTACACAGAAGTGCTGGAATCCACCTGAACTACATGATACACAGAATATAATCCCAACATAGACCTTCCTGTACTCTTGTTATCAATGTGACAGAACACCCTTTAACTGTATAACTAGGATAATAAATTTGGAATAAACTGTGGGTTTTGAACCTAACCCAGCAATTTTTGGTCAGGTAAAAGTCTTACTTGTATTAGCTTCAGGACCATGGGGCTTTTCTAACTAAGAGTCTAATACTGCAGATTCAGCAGAGGCTCATAATATTAGAAGTGCATTACTTTATATTACATTTACTAACAAGGGAGATTAATGTTTTAACTGGGTGGTCTCAAAATTCATTGTTAATTGTGACATTCAGAGTCTTTAGTATTTTTTGGTTCCCTGTAGTACCCAGTTTCAATAAATATTCTGGTGCCATTACATTACATTGCATAAGTCTCTACCAAACAAAACATTTCAAGATGTAATCTCTTAAAAAGGGCAATATACATTTTGTTGAGGACATTCCCCAAGAAATGTTTGGGGCCAATTCCATATTTTGTATGATTTGGATGTCTAGCCCATTCAAAACACGAAGCAGGTCAAAGGAAAAAATGTGAAGTCTAGAGGCTCTTCACTAAGAAAAACTCACATCATTTTTTTCTTTGGCATTCTTTAATGAAGAATTTTAACTCTTGTATGCTCAAGAAAATACCTGTTCTCTAGGCAAATGCCATCTGTCTATCTATGAGGTTTTAAGCGTTGTGGTTCTAAAGCAAGTACCTCTGAACAGCCAAATAACACTACCAAGGTATCAGCTGCTTCATGTTTGTCATTGTGGATATGGAATATCCTCCTGTTAGCTGGCTGTCATTAATTTAGACCATAATAAAATGCTTGGCTAGGTGATCTGTGACTGAAATGAAGGGAGCCTGGGGCCTTTGGTCCAGTTTCTAGCAGCTGTGCTCTCCACATGTGAGGCTGTGAAGCATGAAAACCAAAGACTGGGAGAGCAGGAGGAGGAACCTGCTGCCTCTCCACAGGATGCGAGTCCAGGACTCTCCAGTTTGGATCTGAAGAACAATGATAAAGGCCTGGTGTGAAAAATATACAGCTACGACCTAGTCTGTCTGTGTTGCATAGCTAAAAGCAAGGGTCTACCACTTGGGTAAGGAGTATTTCCCCATCTCATATTCATTTTTTGCCTTTAATAGTTAATGATTTGTAAAGGAGAAAATGGGAATGTCTTCAGTGTTTGATTCAGCTTTAGAAAAAGAAAAGGAATGTTCTGAAAGATTTAATTACTGGATGTGTGCGGTAGATGAGAACTAAAGGGTTAAAAAAACTAATGGTAGGCAGCCATCAAGCAGCAGAGAGTAGCAAACATACTGGACACAAACAGGTGATAAAAGGCACTAAGAGAGATGACAAAATTAAGAAAATAAAGAACACTGTTATAAAGATTTATAGATCAGCTAAAGCAGAGCAAAATAAATGATAACAAACACTGACAAAAAAAGAAACAGGGCATCAGCCATATAAACATGCAGGAAACTTCAATGCTTCTGTATAGTACTATGACACTGCTTTGTTTACACCAGCATTGACCTTTTGCTCCCAAAGAAGTTTATTAACCATCTTGCTCTTTCTTTGTGTTGCTTTACGCATCAAGAGAAAGTTGTACAGGGTTGATTCTGATGAACGGCTTTTTCACAAAGTCAAGTTATCCTTGACTAGATGCAGATGGCCTAGTAAAAAATGAATGCTGCCAGCAGACATTGTCTTTATCAGTAGAAAAAGTTCAACAGGGACTAGACTTCCTCATCTCTGGCCAGAGAAACCCAGCCTTCTGTTTCAGCACCATATCACATATTGTCCTAATGAATTCTGGTAACACACTGCAGCCCAGATAAATATGCTTATATTAATGTTTTTTGGCAGTCTGGGGCATGGTACAGAATTGACACAAGTGTTTGGATTCTGCCTGTAGCAGACACTAGGAATTTATACAGCTTAGAAATATTAAGCTGTTGTTAGGTTGTTTGTACTGTGTGATAATCTTCAGTATTGGGAACTGCAGCTCATCCTCTTCAGACTGGATTCACAAAGGGGAAGCCTGCAGCAAGGCGCACTGAAGTCTGGCAGCTCTTAGCAGGCTGAGGAAGTGACTCCGCCAGTAGAGGGTTTCATTCATTCCACAGCAGTACCAAAGCTAATTTGAGATTTGTAATTCAGACAGTCCAGAGGACATTCACCAGGGCAATATTCACTGCAGGCAATTCAAATCCTGCTGCCATGTGACCTTTCCTTTCTTTGATTCTCTTTTAATTCTTCCTTCTAATACCAGAAACACGCATCTCCATAGTTCTGAGGTAACAGAATAGTGAGTGATTTAAAGCACACCTCTCCCCAGCAGTGTCCAAGGCAACCTGAAGGACAGCAAGTGCTTGGCCTTTGAAGAATGCCCCAGGCTACCAGATGTTTAAAACTCTGGTTCTCAATAGC